ATAGCAACTCAGCATAACTCGACCAGCTAGCACTATTACAACATAAAAACTTCAAGGGAGGCATCAGAAATAGGATTTAAGGACAACATCCTGCACCGTGAAAAGGGTAAAATAATGATCTAAAAAGTGCTAATTGCCTGCATGATTGGGAATTTGGTCCACAGTTCGGCCATGATACATCCAGCACCCCACATATCTACGGCCTTGCCGTAGTGTCTGTCATTGAGAAGGATCTCCGGTGGACGATACCACAGAGTCACAACACGCCCTGTATATCGCGTGGGTCGGTCCGGACGGAAGCAGGCCACGGTTGTCCGCGCCAGACCAAAGTCGGCGATTTTTAGGACGCCACTTTTGTCTATCAGGATATTGGCAGCCTTTAGGTCTCTGTGAAGAACATTGTTCCTGGGGAGAAAGTGGTCAGTTAAAAGCACAGTCAGATGACGACAATGACGAGGGCCAGGTAATTTCACCGGCAACAGCTTCTAAGAAAAGCATGTGGGTAAAACGACCGCCATTGCCGTGGAAAAACGAAAATGACTGACTACGGAGCGAGGAATAAAGCAGTAAGTGCGAAGAAGGTAATTCTGACCAACCATAACCCGAGTTCGAGTCACAGGTTGATCAAACCTGGGATTGAAGCAGAACTGGCTGACAATGTTTAATAGACCGAAAATAGCTATTCCAGACAATGTGGATGTGAGTGACTACACCGCATCAAAGTTAATTCACTACCCCTCGATTCCACATTTGAAAGCAAAGACGCACACTTCAGTTGATGCAGAGGACTGAGGTCTGGCAAAGCAACTGCTCATGAAAATATTGCAGGGCTCGGCCAGGGTACTGCGACACGGTCACCACAGGTGGTCAGCAAATGAGGTAGTCTCGTTAATTTAGCCTATTCGGCCAGGCATCTATCCAAATGCAGAGTTGAAGGCAAAGGCACTAAACCTACATACAGTGCATAAACCTCCAGTACCATGCAAGTTCATCAATCACGACTCTCACCCACTGCTATATTTTAGGTGACCGATCTGCTCGAATGCCTACCAGTTGGACGCAGAAGCTTGGGCTCTAGAGCTTTTGCCCGAGGCCTAAAGTAATAAGTAAGTGTGTTGCATGAGACAAGGAGACTTTTCAGGGTGGCTTTCGCGTTAATCTGTTTGTAATGAAACTCACTCGCGCGACATCTGCTTTACCCTCAAATCCCACACTTGCCACGCCCCAATGACTGTAGACAGGTGAGGGAGGATGGCTTTCGAGACTGAGGCCACGTCAGTGCGTATACGACCGGGTAAATAACCCTAAAGGCACCTTACGTCAATGAAAGGGGCTTCCGAATTTGCATAGGTGACAGCGCTGTAAAGAACGCACTGAGAAGTTGCTCAGGCCTGGCCGTCGGTCCCGAGTAGTACCGATTAATCCAGGTAGTTTATAATCTCCCACGCCACTACCGGAAGCGCGTCGTGTTCCCTCAAAAGCATGTTTGATCGACAACAGCGCTGAAACTGAGGACTAGGTCCAAGCCGCAAAAGACTAGCACAAAAATATCCAGGACATGGGACAGGTTAAACAGTAGGTGGAGGCCTGCGTATGGATGTGCTGAGGTCACTGCAAACTGGTAAAAAGTTGCATATATTTGAACCTTTTAAATTTTATAGTCTGTGGGCAGTGCTCCTGATACTTACAACGAGACAGGCTAGTAAGTAACAAAGCAATCTATATGTCTAAATGTGTTGCAGATCGACATTCGGCAAGCCACCAAAAGCAAAATGGTCAAAAGAACACTTGAAAATGATTAAACGACAAAATGATGCTTACTTGTGGAGGTAATGTAATCCTGTAAGGAGCTGTCTCATGATTGCTTTCTTTATCGAATCCGAGAAATCCACCTGCTGGCTCAGGCCAGCAAGGTCATGGTCACAGAATTCAAAGACAAGGAAAAATTGCGGACGGAAGTTTGAACGTTCGTTCGCTAAACATAATCGATGGGGGGCCAAACGATTTACGTGTGCTGTGACAAACTTCCTTGAGGCAGACGATGTTTTCATGAGAAAGCGATTGGAGTATTCTAATTTCTCGAATGGCCGTTATGGGGAACTAAAACGGAAACACTCAGGCAGACCAAATACGTACGCCCTCTTTTTCCTGTTCCATGCGAATACGCTTGAGGGCATAGTGTTGTTTAGTAGCCTTGTGGCGTACTTTAAATACTTCGCCAAATGTCCCCTGTCCAACCTTCTGCAATCTAACGTACTGGTCAACCGATGCAGTTTTCGTCAAACAGTCGAGATTTTGCTCGACATTTCGAAAATAGGAGCTGTAGTCGGCCTCGAGGTCTTCCTGGAGACTGGCTGACAGGGCCGGCTCAGCAAACATTTCGCAGACCGTGTGAAAACATTACAAAATGCCAGTTGCGAGCAACACCCAAGTATAAGTGGCGCGCAAAAACGGTGTTGCTTCAGAGTTTGTAAGTTCAAGCCAATTTACTATCAGAAACATATGAATATACTAATAATTTTTCGAGAGTATTCATATAGGTTTCAAACTCAATGCATTTCGTCAACCTTCAGTAGAAATCCAGAAAATAGGTTTGGAGAAGGATGAGCAGTTAGTTTGGCGACGAGTAGCAGCTGTCAAAGCGGCTCGATAAATATACGAACGGTTAAACTCTCTAAACGAGAAGTGCCTGAAGAGTTTGGACCAGCTAAGAAAGAAAGGAGGACAAGCAGAAGACCCATAAAAGCATAAAAGATATTTTAAAAGTGAGCAGGACAAAAAGGACAGAAATTCTAAAGTGTCACTGAAGTGGAAGAACAGAAACACCACAGTAGAGAATGATTTGGACAAAAGCACTTTTTTGAGGAGACGCCTAGAGGAGAAGCGAAAATGTGCATAAATTGGCTCACGTATGCTGCCAGTCTTATTGAATACGTCCCAATCTGACTGCTCACTTGGAGTATCATCCACTACAATGGGTGTTCTGCACTTAAACGCGTTCTCTCGCTTCCAGCAATAAATAATTTGTCGCAGTGTCGCAGCACTTTCCTTGCAGTAAAGCAAGTGCTATGGCATTTTTAATTAAGTGTTACTTGATGGAGTCGCTTTTTTAACTTCTTGACGTTGAAACGCATTCACTTGAAGATTCAGCTGCAGCACTAGCGCTGCATACTGCATTCCGTAGGTCATGCACCCAGGGCATCAAGCGATGCGACATGTACATTAAAGCGCATCTTAACCTGTTTGGTACATTTTTTTACATTTTTGGTGTTGAACTCCGTTAGTGGAGTAAATGTATTCGTGGCAGTCTATTCCACATTGGTACCCTGCGTACTAGTGGTGGCAAAAGTAGCTGTGGTAATACTACAAGTATCAGTAGGTGCAATGTAGGCTGTTATATTGGTCTTGTAGTCCAAATACTAACCGGGACTTTTAAGTGGCAATAAATACTGTTGTAGTGATGTCAACCATTTCAGCAGCGACAGCGGTAGTAGTAGTAGTAGTAGTAGTAGTAGTAGTAGTAGTAGTAGTAGTAGTAGTAGTAGTAGTAGTAGTAGTAGTAGTAGTAGTAGTAGTGTCTGTTGAAGACACAGTAAAGGCAACAGTTCCCCCAAAAATTGTAGTACCGGTAATGACACTACTTCTGCCTTTAGCGGTATTAGTCTCGGGTTTGGAATTTGCAATGTTAGCAGTCGTAGAGGCACTAGCAGTAGTAGTGGTAGTAGTAGTAGTAGTAGTAGTCGTCGTCGTCTGGCTGCCGTATCAGCCGAGGTTTCAGTCGCGTTGTCATCCATATGCTTTACTAATAGTGTCTCAGTGTTCGCCCCTGGCTCATGGGTTTTGCTGCGCATGCAGTATGGGAACTCGTTAGTGTCCAAATTTCGGCTGCATTCCGCGCCCGTCAATGCAACTCTTCTCTAAACTATTCTGGTGGCAGTCAGTGCTAACGTAAACCCTATTCTGATTGGAATTTGAAATTCAAAATGACTATAATTCCTCTACTGTTTTTTATCTTATCTAATTTGGAAATTAATTCCCTCCCCCGCAAATCGCATTTTCATATTAGCCCTGACCGTGTAGTTGCTTGAGGGCAAAGGTGCAAGTACGCGAAAAAGTTTATCAAAGACTCGTCAAGCAAAATAACTCGCCACCGACGGTCAGGGGGACTGTAGGTTTACATGCAGCAGACAGACTCTTTGTAGGAGAGGGCTTGTAGATTATCCAGGCTAAAGGAATTCAGTAAATAAATGGCAAAAAGTATAACCAACCGTAAAGGTCACTGATTACACCGATCTACATACACCTCCTACTGCTGGCTTGCCACCTCGTTTAATTAAAGTTGTCATTGCCTAGCAAATAAAGCTCTTGTCCCACCGATCGTGTCTCCTTCTTCCGTTTCCTTTTAGATAATCCCAGGAGCAACAGACCGGGACGAAGGAGATGGCTAATCGCTAGAGAACTGGCCCGCTCCGAGGTGGACATTGCTGCAGTCAGTGAAACCCGGTTCTCCGATCGGGGCCAACTTGACCACGTGGGTGTCGGCTTCACCTGCTTCTGGAGGGATCGGCCCAAGGCAGGGAGAGGTGACTTGAGCGCTATCTTTGCCATCGGGAATGACATCGTGGGACGACCACCCTGTCTGCCGCAGGCTATTAACGATCCCCTGATGATCCTCCGTCTGCCACTCAGGGGGGAGGGGGTAAATTCGCCATCAACATCAGCGCCTGCACCCCAACAATGACCGACTCAGACTAGGAGAAGTTATTCGAAGACCTGCACATTCTCCTAGCGACTGTGCTGAAGGCAGATAAGTTGATTGTCCTTCGTGACTTCAATGCCGCGTCGGCACAGACCATGCAACCTGGACAGGAGTGCTGAGTCCTCACAGTCTCAGCAGCTCCAATGACAATGGTCGGCCCCTCCTACGAACTTGCGCAGAACACCGCCTCATTTTCACGAACATATTTTTCCGCCTTCTGACGCGGGAAAAGACGACCTGGATGCACCCTCGGCCGCGACACTGGCGCCTGCTGGACTATGTCTTCGTTCGAAGGCGAGACCAGCAGGACATGTTTGTGAAAAAAGGGGAGCCCGGGTGTCGACTGGTGGACCGACCATCGCCTCGCCATCTCCAAGATGAGGATTCGCCTACAGCCTGGCAGAGGACCTCCAGGTAAGCTGTTATTTTTTTGCTGTCTCTGCCTGCTCACCATCTTCATTTCAGTAATGAACCAACTCAAAAGCTGGCCAATCTTCCAGTTGCCGCCGTGGACGAAACACCTCCGTGGAGAACCGCTGGTGTCAACTGAGGGAAACGGTCCAGTTAATCTCCATGGCTGTCCTCCGTCGCGCATGTCCCCATCATCAGGACTGGTTCGACGACAATGACGCTGCCATCGGCAACCTACTCCCTAAAAAGAACCATCTGCACAAAGTCCATGTCAACTGCCCTACTGACGACAGCAAAACAGTCTTCTACCGTGGTCGACGCCTTGTGCAGCAGCGGCTGCGGTATATGCATAATGCGAGCGCGGCTCGTAAAAACAGAGGATCTCCAAGATCTTGCAGACCCCAACGAGTGGATGAACTTCTTCGTTGCGATCAAGACTATCCACGGTCCCACAGCCAATGGAACCACTCCTCTTCTCAGCGCCGGCGGAACTACTCCACATACATAGATTCCTCAGCGATGGGCAGAGCACTCAAGAGGCGCCCTCAACTGCCCCGCCACCATCTTCTATCTCGCCATCGCCCGTCTGCTCCAGGCGGAGACCGATACTGATCTTGACCTGCCACCCTCTCTTCACCAGACCATCAGGGTCGTGCTACAACTCTCCGGGGGTAACGCGCCCTGATCGCACGCGATTCCTGCCGAGATCTACAAGCATGACGGCCCCCAACTCATGGAACTCTGACAACGCTTTCGCAGATTTGGCGTCAAGGACAAGCTTCTCAGGATTTCCAGGACGCCACAATCGTCTATCTCTAAAAGCGGAAAAGGAATCGCCAAGTCTGGGACAACCATAGAGGCATCTCCCTCCTCAGCATCGCCATTAAGATATTCGCTCGCATTCCCCTTAACCGTCTCAGCAGCTATCTGGAAGGACTCCTGCCGGAAAGTCAATGCTGCTTCCGCCGCCATCAAGATATCATCAAAAGGATCTTCGCCGCCCGCCAACTACAGGAGTGTCAGGAGATTCGTATCTATCTCTACTCTACCTTCTTGGATCCGGCGAAAGCCTTTGATACGGTGGATAACGAAGGGCTGTGGAAAGTCATGCAGAAATTCGACTGTCTCGAGCGACTCACTCAGATAGTACGTCAGCTCTATAATGGCATGATGGCGCGAGTCACGGACAATGGAGCCGTCTCAAGGGCATTTGCAATGACCAAAGAAGTGAAGCAGGGCTGCGTCCTCGCACCTACCCTCCTCAGTCTCATGCTCACTGCCATTCTTATTGACGCCCAGGGATCCGCGTCACCTACAGGACGGACGGCCAACTCCTCAATCAGCGGCGGATGCCCTTCCAGTCGCGGGTATCTGCAAATTCCGTCCATGAACGTCTCATCGCCACCTGCGGTCTCAACGCCGCCTCAGAAGGAGACATGCAAGGGTTCAACTGCAGGCCGTGGTTAACTTCACCTACCTGGGCACTACGCCCTCTCGCAACACCAAAATCGACATTGAAAACGCCAGCCGGATTTCCAAGGCCAGCCACGTGTTCGGTCGCCCGCAGGACACCATCTGGGATCGTCACGGTCTCCATTGCAGCATCAAACTCAATATGTACAACGCAGTCATCCTGCCGGCGGCGCTGAATGGATCAGAGGCCTGGACGGCAAAGAAGCAGGCGCGGAGACTCAAACACTTCAACCTCAGCTGTCCTCGGCGGATATTAAAACTGACGAGGTAGGGTCGGATCCCCGACACGGTCGTACTGGAACGGACAGGGATCCTCAGCATCCAACCCATGCTGAGACAATCCCAACTGCGCTGATCGGCCGCCTCGTGCGGACGAACGAGCGGTCACCCAAACAACGCTTCCGTGGAGATGTCGCCACGGGTTCCACCGACAAGGAGGTCAAGTCCGTCGCCACAAGGACACTCCGAAGACTTCCTTGACGCGCCTGCAGATCAAGCCGGCCAACTGAGAAGACCTAGCCGGAACCGATCGGCCTGGAGAAGACCAGTGAAGACAGGTGCAGCAACCGACGAAGCCAACCGCATCAGCGTCACCATATCCAAACGTGAATTTCGCGAATCGAAACTCCCTCCATCTCACAAAACCAACGCTGAAACGCCCCGACTAGCCCACGTTGTCAGCGGACGTTGCAGGCACAAATCGGTCTTACTGGACATCCTCAAAACAACTGCAGCTCCCGAAAGCCACTCAATATTCCCCCATCCATCTCTGCTGCGTCCCTCACGCCAACAATCAACACTTATCGCACTCATGAACCCCCACGGCCACCCCACACCGTCACCCCAACATCTGCTGCGGCGGCCCCTGTCCCCACCACCACTGCACACAATCCTGACGCACCGTCAAACATTAACCTCACCACCGCCAACACCAGTGATGTGCACTCGGTCCAAACCTGTCCTTATTGTGATCGCACCTTCACCCCACACACCGGCCTGGTCGGTCACTTGCGAATCTACCGCACAGACTGGCGAACAATTGCCTGGAATATCAAATTACACTCGTCGCAGGCACCTTCACTGTCCACACTGTCCCTATGCGCTCACTCGTCGCACGGGCCTGATAGGACACATGCGCGTCGACGAAAACCTGAGGCAGACAACCGCCGGCTACACCAAACTATCGCATCTTCCCCTACCGACACCCCGCACCACACAACATCCCAACGCATCATAAGCACTCAGTTGGCACCTCCCGCGCAAGTGGGAAGTGTGCTCCTCGGCTCCTTCTCCATGCGGCCCCTCTGTTGCATGTGTAATCCGAGTCTGAGACCAAGCGCGGTGGCTTGGAAGGCTGCCGTCTGACGCCCCAACTCAGTCCACGCAGTCTGTCCAATTGTGTGTGAGTTTGTGTGCAGTGGCGGACTGAGAACCAGGCTGTAGCTGCTCCTTCACGTGACCTACAGCACTCTTACCCATGTCGGATGTACGCCGCTCAACCCCCCTTGTGTGAGATCCTGGTGCTTGTGTTTAAGGGGCCAGATCGTGCGTGTGGAGCGCGCAGACAAGGTCACTAGATGTCAGCCACTGCGTCCCTTCCGCGCACCTGTCAAGTGACTGGGGCCTGGGAATGGAGAGAGAGCGAGGTCGAAGACTCAGCGCATTCTGCTCCTCATGAACAATCTGACACGTTTGAAGCTATCACGGTGCACCAAAGGCCGTGGCTTGGTAGGTTGCCAGTTGACGGGATAACTTAGACTTAACAGTCGACCCAGTCTGCGTTTGTGTAGATCGGCCGACTGGTGGCCCGAGGGTCAGACTGAAATGGCTCCTTCTCAATATGGCCGTTATGGCACGCCCACTCCGTGTGGCGGCATGCCTAGGGGCGACTCCGGCCGCACCAGTCACCTGCGCTCCCTCTCACCTCCAGCGTTCTTGACTGTCTTGACACCGGGCTCAGGTGAGGGAGGAGAGAATGCGGTAGACGCGGCGCAAATCCGCATCCACAATAAACTAAATCATGCGCAAGTCACCGTGCCTGCTTCACCTCGCTGCGAAACACTATAGTGGACATAGTCGGCAACGACGGTCGAACTGTTGATGGAATTGGGCTTATGGCTAGCGCGGCGTGAAGCCTACGCCTGGGAGTTCCGTTACACCTCCACATGTGCGGCCGTAGGTATGGGCTCGCGCCGGATCTGCACAGTCAGGTTCAACCTGTCGCCTATCTTGGTCCAGCGCATCTATAGCGAAGCCGGATCTAGGGGGTCAAAGTGGGCAACCACAGCACTACACGCAGCCACAACAAGGCACATCTCGGCCAAAACAACAGTAATTAAAGTAAGACGTAATATCGTAGTATCGGAGTGTCGTTCGGCAATGTTAACTCTCCACATAGTTTACGAAGCTCACCGCGGAAAGCATCAACAAGAATCCCCAGAACTTATTACTGCTCACATACAAGACAAGACAACGAGTCCGTGCCCCAGTGAGTAGAGGCGTTAAACTTCTAACTAACAGGTCGCGGGATCGGGCCCCAGGTGTTCCACACTTCGGGGCTGAGTATGGCTAGCTGACGACGGCTAATAAGCCGGAAATGACCATTCCAGTCTCCCTTGTCTTTGTCGGTAATACCATTCTGTCTACAAAATATATTTCCCGTCCATAACTTGGCCGGCCTTCAGGTCCGCAATGATCTTGACTAGGGAAAAGCAAGCAACTAAGGAACTGCGGGTAATATCCGAAAAGGAAACCACTAGGTCAAATTATTTAAAAAAAGTAGAAATGAACATCGGTTGCCAAATTGTCCATCATCGCTTCGTTTTTCTACAAAGTAGAAAAGTCCATTCCATCCAACTGCGAACGTACCTCTGAAGCAAAGGTAAGATCAGCACAGTAACTTTGCTATCCGCGACATTCGGCAATCATGGAATGACATACAAAACCCCAAGGACGACAGGGATGACATTAACTGCGGACCAACTCCAACAACTTCCAATGGAAGAATACCAAGACTGTCCGAAATGGGACACTATTTAGCGAAAAGTACGCAAGGTCATCTTAAAAAGAGGTTAATTTTGGGTGGTAATCAAAGGCGGAAAGCGACAGCGGAGATGGTGTCAGAATTTGAGACAAGATGGAGGAAGGGGGGGAGGAAGAAAAGCCTTTGCCATCTCAGTTTTTCTTCAATTTTTGCAGGTACTTTTCCCGTTGCTTGAGTTCAAATGCCGCCACCAGACGGTCTCTCAGGCAGTCCGGCAGGAGCCCCATACCGGCGGCCATGAACTCGTGTCCGAGGTAGCCGCAACAGCATGAGCTGACACCCAGCATGTCCAGTGCGCTGCGAGCAAAGACGGGTGCCGAGGGACGAAAGAAGTTTGTCGAGGGGTTGCCCCGATGCGGCGTGGAGATGAAGCCAGGAGTGAGGGTGAGAACACGTACACGGCCACGCACCTCTTCAGCTAGGGAGGCGGCAAAGTTGTGAACGAACGCCTTTGCGCCGGCATAGAGGGATTTGTAGGGCCGCGGGAAGAGACCGGACACAGAGCCCATGTTAATGATGCAGGGCTGGGCGCCGGTGAGGGGCTGGGAGAACATCTTGGCCAACGTGATACGAGACATGCAGGCCGTAGAGACGGCGTTGCAACAGAGGAGTTTCTCAATGCTCTGGGTGGATATAAACTCACAGGTGGCCGTGGGCCCGGCACAAACTTGTGATATGCCCACATTGTTTACCAGGCAGGCGACGGATGGAAGATTAGAGATTTCTGTGGTCAGATCGTCGTAGAAGTCCGCCTGCCCGAAGGAAATACAACCATGAAAGTGAGAAGAGGACTAGGCATCAAGAAGAACGCGGGAGGTGATTATCTCTGGCCAATATAATGACAATCGGAAGGGGTGCTTACTACAGTGAGTGACCGATCTCACGAAGTCTCAGTCGAAATTCTGAAATACATTTTTGATTAGAAAGAACTGCCTAGATGGGGTTGAAATGCAGATTGCTATGCAGCATAGTCCTCTACTATTTTGGATTCGAAAGGATATTAGCTTTGGAGTGCACTTCCTTTCGACCTACTTTAAAAACTACATTCGGCAAAAAAGACTACTTAGGTATCATGCATTTTCACATTGACCTTCAATGGCCTTAGAAATTCGAGTATATTTTATAGAAAACGTGCGCAAAATATGCGTTCTTCTACTCATTTGGTAGCAAATCCCATCGTCTTTCTATTTTGCACTCGAAAAATGAGAACCCGTCAGTTTAAAAATGCTTCTAATTATGAGACTTTTGAGAACATGCAGGGTTGATTTACACAACATCGTGCCTGTCCGTAAACTAAAACTTCTTAGCAGGTAAACAACACAGTCGCGTTAATTTCAAAATTTTATGAGTTCTACCTATTATCTCCCTAAAGGTATAGAGGAACATATGATTTTTAAAGCAGAAAGAAAACACCTTGTAGATTGAAATTGTTAGACGCTAATGCAACGTCTGATCTGTCTTAAAATTATTCAAGAATTAGAAAACTCCTTTCAAAACCTAAATATTCCCTTTCTTCGAGTATGAAATGTGAGTATGACGTGATTTTCTACCAGACGAGTAAAGGAAAGGGAATAATTGTGCATGTTTTCTATAAAATATGCTTTAATTTATGGATTTGTCGGAAATCACTGCGAAAAATACATGCTAGTTAAGTTGTCATTCCTTACTGAATGCAGATTTCACAGGTTGAAAGGAAGTGCATGAAAAAGCCAACATCCTGGCGAGTCCGAAATATCATAGGATTATGCCCCCTGATAATTAATATTACAACACCATATATGTAACCCTTCCTAGTCGAAAACGCATTTCGGAACTCCGGTTAGCATTTCGCGAGATCAGTCTCACTGACTGTACTTTGAATCAAGGCCTCATTCGTCGCGGTAACCACTTTCACTAACCGATCCGGACGACTGCAGGGCGAAATACAGGCGTTTAATCTAGCACTGGAGGCACGTTCTAGTGCCCTTGAAAGCAGTCGCATGGCGTCAGGACAATCGGCAACCTACATGTATCTCCGGCAAAGAAGAAATCAGACCGGAATGAATATTTCTAGCTTACTTGCTGTTATCAGCCGACCGCGACACAAGTACAGACCAGGGGGATTGTATGTTTGATAAATTTCGTTGATTGTGAAACCTCCTAAAGTTGTACCACTGGTCACCTATAAACAGCACGTGACGTTTACTGGAGAGGTCCGATTGCAGGGGACAAACGAAAAGACAGGTCAACACGTGGTGATCTTTTTAGAAGCGAGCAAGTCAAGAACAAGGAACCCTGTGGAATTGACTAGTGAGAATGCTGATGCGAGGAGGTCTTATTCGAATAAATCTTAGTTACTAACAATGTGCAAGGAGATTCAGAAAGGACAATGGTGACTTAATCGGCCCACCACGTCTATGTGGGCGTACTTACTGCCACTCAGGGGGTTTGCTGTCCTGACACTACTACTTTACAAGCGCAGTACGTTCTGGGGATCTGTGGCAGAAGAATGTGGTCAGCGGAAAGACCAAGGTTCCGGATTATGAACACGGTCACAGCCTTTTTAGAATTCTCAACAACAAAGACGGGGGAGCTGGAGACTGTCACCCTCGGCTACTTTTGTCGTCATCAAAAAGCCAAATCCCAACATCAGGTTGCCATTGGGCCTAAACAAAGGTTCGACTGAACACCAGTAAGCAACGGCCACACATCTTATTAGATGCAACCGAGAATACTTGGTATCAGAATGCAGGAAGGGGCACGTACATTTCAACTCGCCTGGAGTTCCAATACGCAGCCCTAGCAGGCGGTCATATAGCGATGAGAATCAGTACTCGGGGGCATTGCCGGCTGAACGAAACTACCATCTCTAGTTAATTTACCGCGAGAGTTCAAGAACAGGACTAAAAGGCAACATGGACGAACCGTATTCCCTCCTTTTCTCATATGTTTAGCCCAACAGTAAGACATTGAAGGAATTTAAAGTGGGCTTGGGTGTAGGAAAGCATTTGGCACAGGGTAGTCAGATGACGAGAGAAAAGCAACTTGCCATTGAGAAATCTGCGACAAAAGTTTTGGTTTTGACGTTAAACTTTTCCTCCAGTTCCTTTGCTACGGTGTCTAACTTCTCTTTTGTCCGGCTAATAAGGAAGATGTTTAAACCATCTGCCGCAAGCTCTTCTGCGAAGGCCTTGCCGATGCCATCGGTGCCGCCGGTGACAATAGCCCAGTCGCCAGCTTTCCTAATTTCACCGCGCTTTGATAGAAGGGACTTCACAAACCGAGTACATCTCACAAACCTCCAGGCAAAGCGACAAATAGAGTACAGGATAATGACTCCAAT